AATAATATATGATTTTTTTATAAAAAATAAAATTTGATATATTTTATTAACTTTAAAAAATTTCTTTAAAATTTTATATTTATATATTAATTACATAACTTTTTACTAAAAATTATAAAAATTATAATAATATAAATTTTTTTTTATTTTTTTTATAATAAATTTTATAATATTATATTATAATTAATATGTTAAAAATCAATTCTAATAGAATTATTAAAGTTAAAATATAATATATAATTAAAATTAATTTAAAAAATTTTTTTATATTTATAAAATAAGCAAATCTTTACATTTAATAAATAGCTTTAATATTTTTTAAAAAAAATTATTATTATATAAAAATTATTCTAATTATATAAAATATTAATTTTTATTTTATAGTATTATTCAAAACTTTATAAATTAAAATTATTGATTATTTAAAATATTAAAAAAATTAAATAAATTTATTTTTAAACTTTTAATTTTATTATTTTTATATTAAATAAAAAGTTATTAAACTTTATTTATATATATTAATATTTATTTAATATTTAAATTATTAAAATTTATATTATTTTTAATTTAGTTGATTTTTTATATAATTATATATCTTAAGATTAAAAAATTTGATATAATTATAAAAAAAGTTATAAACTATAAAAAAAGATTTTTTATAAGTTTATTATTCACTTCAATTTAACAAATTTGTATTTATAAGAAAAAATAATTATGTAAAAGGTGTTTATATAAGAAGTTAATTATATTTTTAAAATAAAAGATTATTAAAAATATTTTTTATAATTAAAGTATTTATTTATAAAAGAATTTATTTATTTTTTAATAAATAATTTTTTATTCAAATAAGATTAGTTTATTTATAAATATTAATTATTTAGTATATTTAAATATATTTTAAATAATTTAAATATTTTTTAAATAAATTTTATTTATATATATTTTAAATTTAAAATAAAAAATTATTATAATTAATAAACATAAATGTATTAATATATAAAACTTTATTTACAAAATAATTTAATGATTATATTTTAATAGTAAAAATTAGTATTTCTAGTTCAATTGATAATAACTAAATACTATTGTAAATTATATTATAATAACTATTAGTTCATGTTTTAGCTAAAATAAAATAATATAATTTTCATAAAAATTTCTTTTGTAATTAAATATATATTAATATATATTAGAAATTAATTGATTAATTTAACAATCAATATTAATTATATCTAATATTAAATTTAAAGTAGATATAAATAAATCAAAGATTAATAAAAACATAATCTTTACTAATAAATTTATAATAAATATTATTTACATTTTTAAATAGAAGAAGCCTTTACTTTATAAAAAGTGATTATCCAATTATTAGAAAATTAAATTGCTAATAAATATAAGAAAATTATTATATTATCAAAATTAATTTAATTAAACTATCACTTAAATTAGAAGTTAGATTTAATTTTTAAATAAATTTAATAATATAAGCATAATATTTATCTACATTTTGAAGTTCTATATAGTTGATAGTAATTTTTAAAATATAAATTTTATAAAGTTATTTTATTATTAAATCTTCTTAATAATAAGTAAAAGTTATAGTAATCCTAATATAATATAATAAAAATAATCCTATAACTAAAAGTGATCACTTTAATAATAAATCTAGATAATATTTAGTAAAATTATTTTAAGGTTAAATTTAATTACTATTATTTATATTTAAGGTTGCTTGTTTAAACTTATTTTAGTTTTAACAAAAGTTTAAACTTTAGTTTTACTAATTTTTTTATTAAGGTTTTGGTATAGTTTTACATTTTTATAAGCTTTAATATAGTTTTACCTTTTCTAAAGTTTATAGATTTTTTAATAAGGTTTTAATTAGTCTAAAATGAAATGTACAGTATTAAACCATTTGAACAATTAGACATATGAACTTCTAATTAAACATCTAATTGAATATATGTCCAATTAGACATTTCATATATCTAAATCTAATTACATTAATTGGATATTAAAAATGCCTAATACTAGAAGTATAAGACTATATATGATAAAAAAATATTCTGATTTTTATTCATTCAATAATTGAATTGATGCTAATTGGCTTTTGTAATTATATAAAATCTTAGATAAATAAATAGATCTTTTTAATTAATAAGAATAATACTAATATAATAATTACTTTATTAATTAGCTTATTTGTGATTTTTAATCTTTTACGATTGTTGATAATTCATAATTTAGAAATTTTATCAATTATTTTTGTTTATATTATATTATTTCTAAACGATATTAGGTTAAAGATATGATTATTAATATATTTACTATCTAATAAGCTAAAATTATTAACATCTTAATTAAATTATAAAACAATATTCATTAATTACAAATATATAGACTTCTAATGAATTAAAATATCATTTTAGATCTTACAATCCATTATATTGATTTCAATTAGCATTTTTGTAATTTCTTCTTAATATTATCCCTTTTACTATTGGTTATTTTAAAGTAAATATTGCAAATAAAATTATATGTATTTTGAATGAGTTTAATATTCTTAATAAAGTTATTATGATTATAATAGATAATAAAGTTATAATATTAGTTTATGAAAAAGAAATTCTTGATTCTGAATTTATATTAATAACTTTTTCATACTATCATTATGCAATATATGTTTTAAATTAGAAATAAGAAAAAGGATTAAAGGAAATTATTAATTTGATTAGCAAAATATGTTAACTAATGATTAAAATCAAAATTCAATTTGTCTTTATGATGATCTTCATTTTTTATATAATTTAAAAACATACCTTACTTTAAGTTTATTATTGATGTAGAGATTTGTTAAAATTCAACATATTATATGTTGAAACGTAAGCTAAATTAATATTATATTTAAAAGTAATTTTAAAGAATTTTAAACTATTTTTTATATTTTATAAATATGATACTTTTTTACTTCTTGAACTTTTGAAGAGAACTATGAAACATTTATCGGCATCACATTATCCTACTATAGATATATTCATTATATTTTTGAAGTAATCTAAAGGATTATATACTAAAAGAAGATTTTATTTAACATTAAATAGCATCTTCAATATTTGATAAAATTGAAGAATATTAAAAAATTATAGATAAATTTCAACCATTTTAGTAATAGATTCTCAAACTAAACTTTTGTTTTTTCAAGTAAATCATTACAAAATGCTCGCATGTATATTCAAACCAAATTTAAAAGTTATGAACAGCATTTTCTAACTTAGTTCAATCATTTACAACAATTACTGTTAATACCACTCATTAATATTTGCAAGATTTTGATAAAAAGAAGGAAAAACTAATTTCACTTCATTACTTTCCTCAACAATAATGTCAGAAATAGACCGTTATTTTACATTAACCATTGATGAAGAATCTGATCTTCTTTTATGGTGGCAAGCACATGCTAAAGAATATCCAATTGTAAGCAGGATAGTACAAAATCATTTTACAATTCAATCAATAAGTGTTGCATCAGAACAGGCATTTTCAGTTGCTAGAAATATAATTAGCAAAACATGTAATCATTTATTGCCAGAAATAGCATGTTCATATTTATGTTTAAAGAGCTGGATAGTTAATGAAGTAGGAAAATTAAAATTTTTATTTTTGTTTTATTTACTTGAAAGAGTAATGTAATTTTTTTTGACCATTTAATAAATTTCAATAAAATAAATAAAATAAAATTTCTCACATCCGAATAGTATAAATTAATTATCAAAATTAAATAGTATATTAATTTAAAATGCTTTCATGTGATTTATATAAAATATCTATATCTATTGTTATAAAGAACCAGTTTTAATTAAATTGCTTAAATCAGTTTTTAGAACTGGTTCTAATTGAACCGGAATCAGTTTTAGAACCAGTTCTAAAGAACCCAGTTCAGTTCGAATTAATTAATAGAACTGGTTCTACAGAACCGGAACCTAGCCTAACCGAACCAACCCATCACTACTCTCCGTTCCCTAGTATAAATGGTTAATGAGAGTTATAGTTACACAAATTAATTTAAAATTTTTTGATCCGATAAAAAAAAATTTTTATAAAATTTAACTTGGAAAAAAAAAATGCCTTTAATAATATTGTGTGGAATTCCCTCTAGTGGAAAAACGTGTCGTGCAAAGCAAATTATGCAATACTTTGTAGAACGCTTTAGCAATGAAAATAAAACTAATTCAGTAAGTTTAATAAATGACGAGTCTTTAGGAATAACTAAAGACAGTTATAAGGGTAATTATGATAAATCCCATCATTCGTCTCAGTTTGATCATTTAATTCGAATTAAACATTATTTCCTTCTAACTTTAGACACACGCATTGAGGAAAAGAAATCGCGTGGAACACTAATTTCAGCAGTTGAGCGGTTAGTATCGAAAGATGACTTGATAATTGCTGATGGAATGAATTATATCAAAGGATTTCGATATCAATTGTATTGCATTGCACGCGCTGTTGGTACACCTCATTGTGTGGTATGTGAAGATTTCAAATTGTCCTTTTAATTACATGAGAATCATTTTAAAAATTTTTTTTATTTATTATAGGTGTATTGCGGAATTCCAGTTGAGGTTGCCAGAGAATGGAACTCTAAACGCGGAGTAAACGGTTATGGTGCAACAGTGTTAGTCATTTCGAAGAATATATCAATTATTTGTCTCTTGAATTAATTTGAATCCAATCATTATATATAAATGCGTTTTAGGTTTGATGAACTTGTCAGTCGATTCGAAGAACCTGATGATCGAAATCGTTGGGATTCACCGCTCTTTACAGTGCTATATAATGATCCAGCAGTTCCTTTCGAAGGTATATGGAACGCTGTCATCAATAATAAACCAATATCTCCCAATTTGTCAACCGTTTCGGTATGTCACTGATTTATTTTTTATATTGATTTAAGAATAATTTTTGATGTTTTGTATCTTTGATCTAGAAACCAGTAAGCGAGACAAATTATTTATACGAATTTGAAAAAACTACACAAGATATAATCAATGAAGTTCTGGACGCCCAAAAACATAATATTGGGGGTGGCGCAGTCAAGATTTTTCGTGCAAATCAACCAATATCCTTTTATATATGATCTTTTAAAAATATATGATTATTAATATTATCTTTAATAATTGAATGATTCTTGATGCTTAGTACGTCAATCTTCCGTCACGCACAATAACATTATCTGAATTAAGAAGATTAAGAAAACAATTTACCAATATTAATAAGATGCATACGTTACTTGATATGAATCGAGTAGCTGAATTATTTGTCGAGTATTTAAATACTAATATTAATCGATAATGTAAAACTCGCTCGATTTTAAGTGTTGGGCAATGGAACAGTTTTGGACAGGTTTTGGACACTTTTCTTTATTCATAATCTTGTACAAAATATTTAAAATCAAAATATATTATACAGTTATTCAAATAATTTCTTAAACAAAAAATAGCAAAGAAAGAAAATAATTATTTAATTATGAAGAAAGACATTACAAAAGTTGATATAATAATAAGAAATTGTTATAATAGTAATATTAATAATAATAGAAATATATAAAAATAAACAAATCTTTTAATGATAATATTTAAATTAAATAAATTATTAAAAAGATCAATTATTTTGTTAATAAACAAATAAAATTCTTTATATATAATTTAATATTTAAATATAGGATAAATAAAAGTTTTTTATATAAACAAATGTTTTTTACTATTTTTTTTAAATATATTTATATATCAGTATTTTAATACTTTATAGATATAAATTGTTTAAAGTATTAAAGTAAAATTATTTTTTTTAAAAAGTTTTAAGTTTTTTATAAATCTAAAATTATTAGAAAGTTTAATTTAAAAAGATTTTATAAATTTATTAAAATATAAATAATTGAATTAATTAATTTCACAAAATATTCATTCTTAATTTATTTATAATAGTTTTCATTCAATTAAAATGATATAATTATTTCAAGTGAACAATTTTTATTTTATTATTCAATTGTAATAATATAATTGTTCTAATCAAATAATTTTAGTTATCATTTAATTAAAATGATACAATCATTCTAATTGAATGATTTTTAATTTTCATTTAATTATAATAATATAATCATTTTAATTAAATAATTTTATACTTATTATTTGATTAGAATAATAAAAAATTGTTCTTTAGAAACAGTTCAAATTATTGTTCAATTAGAATGATTCAAAATTATCATTTTAAATGTATAATCTGAACTGAATTAAATCTTTCAGAAAATTAATTTAGTTGTTAATTCTACAAAATATCAATAACCAATATATTTTCTTTTGAATTTTAATATATTAAATCAGACGTCAATTGGTTATAAATAAAAATAGGTTAAATATTAATTAATTCTTAATGTATATCAATCAGCTATAAATAAGATAGGTCAAATTTTAGCTGATTTTTGACTGATTTTTTATATATGCTAATTGGTTAGGCCAATTTTTTAATAATTTGTTAATTTTAGGTTAATTTTAAGTCAATTTTTCATATGTCTGATTTATTTGATTTCAATTAGCATATAAAATATATTGTAATTTAACTTATTATTTGAAATAAATTAAAAATATTTTCATGAATATATTAAAAATATATTGAAATTATAATATAAATAATTAGAAATTATAAAAATATATTTGATTTTTAAAATCTATCATATTATATGATTAATTCTAAATCATATAATGAATTTTATTACTAGTAAATATTAAATTATTTATTAATTTTATATTTATTATTATACAGTGATAAGCAAAAAAAAATGCAACTACTAATTTTTTAGATTTAAATGCTTATAAATCATTAATTATAAATGCTAAAATAATAATTTTATATTTATTTTAATCTTTAAAATTTAAAGTATATATTTTTTTTAAAAAAAAATTAAATTAATAATATCAGTTTATAAAAATTGACAATTTATGTTAGATTTTCTTACAAATATTTTAAAAATTTAACTAGAGTAGCTACAATATTAAATTTTAAATATAGAATGCATATATATTCAAAATTTTATATATCAAAACTTTAATATATATATACATTTTATATTTAAAAATTAATAATTGTTTAATACTTAAAATTTATTAAATTTAACAAGCAAATGAAATATAATTATGTAAAACAAATTATTGTAAATCATTATTTATATATAAAAAGTTAAAATAGATTAATTAATTCCCTTTTTTATATTTAATTTTTAAAAATAAAATGTTTAAAATGTTGTAATAACTCTTAATATACTTGTTTATATTCTACTCAATAAAAAATTTGATATAAAAATTTCATAAAAATATTAAGTTTTATTTATAACTTGTAATTTTTATAGAATATCAGTATAATATATACATTTTTTTTTTAGGTAAAAACTTTAAACTTAATACAGAAAAGTGGGAAAAATCATATACAAAAAATTAAAAAAAAACATATACTTTATAATGCTTTAATAGATGCAAAAATCACAGATAAAACATATACTTTATAATGTTTTAACAGATACAAAATTATAAATTAAATGTATGCTTTTATAATACTTTAAAGAATGTAAAATTATAAATTAAATGTATACTTTATAATGCTTTAACAGATGTAAAAATTACAGATAAATGTATATTTTATAATGCTTTAATAAATGCAAAATCACGAATAAAATGTATATTTTATAATGCTTTAATGGATGCAATTAAACAATTTAGATTTTATTGATATAATAAAAAATTAAAAATTAAAAAAAATTTAAAAAATCAATATTTTTTAAATTTTTCCCTTCTTGCATTTCTTGTTCTTTTGTGTAATATTTCTTTTAATATAAATTAATCAAAATAAATATAAAAAATGAGTATTATAAATTTGTAAAATAAAAAAAAAAGAGATAAATTTCTTACCTTTTTTATTTTCATTAATTGAATCTTCATTTTCTTTTTCTTTAATATTTGTTAATATAAAG